TCTTTACAGCCAGGGAAACTAAGGCTCAAAGACAAAGATTAAGTGGTTATGTCCTGGGTCACACAGCCAGTAGCGGCTTAGAGATGACAAGCTGTGCACCTACTGTGTGCTGTGCGCTGCCCCTGGATCTGAGGGTACCCGGGAGTCCTGCAGCACAGGCTTGAAGAAACTTGCACTGTGCCGTGCAGCACACAGGCACCGACGGAGAAACAGACGCATGTCAGACAAGGTGTTATCCTGAGGGAAACGCCAGGGAGGAGAGGAGAAGATGCTGCCAAGCATGGCAGCACAGCCCTCAGCGAGGAACCGAGGCCTGGGGACACTGCGCTGGGACAGCAGAGGACACAGCAGAGGCCCAGAGTGCAGGTGCTGAGGGCTAATTGATTAGCAAGCTGAGTCAGGAGGAAGTGAGGGAGGGTGGTCACTGTCTGGGAGGAACTCGGAAGACACCCCAGGGAAGTGGCTTTCCCTCTCAGGAGCCTGAGAAGTCCTCAAAGAGGCCAAGCCTTGTTCCCAGAGAGTGAGGCATAGCATGTGGCCCTGACCTGAGCCTGGAACAGGCTGGTGCCCAGGTGACGTCCTAGAGAATTTCAGCTCCACCAAGCCTCAGGCTGTGTGTTTGAGAGAAAAGTGACCAGAATCTTGCCTGAACCCCAAGACCAAGAGCCTTGGGGAAAGTGCCTCACTTCAGAGCCCAATTTCCTTCTTTTTTTAGACAGGGTCTTACTATGTAGTTTCGACTGGATTAGACCAGGCTAGCCTCAAATTTAGAGATCTGCCTGCTTCTGTCTCTCAAGTACAGCAAACAAAGCTGTGTACCACCATGCCTGGTCAGAGCCCATTTCCCTTTCCGCTCATTGCCTTTGAGGACTACATTACAGACAAACCTTTGGGGTACACCAGTTGCTATTCATAGCACTTCACAAACACCCATTTCCTTAGCCCCCCTAAGAGCCCTGCTGGACAAGCGCTAGGATCCTTTCTTACAGAAGAGAGTTCTGAGGCACAGAGAGGGCGCCTTGCCCGAGGCCACACAGCTAGACCCAGAGTACTTTTGAAAACTAAGCAGCCCTAATGCCTGGGTCAGAACTGGCAGCCACCCAGGGTAGTGACAGCCCTGGTGTAATCAGAGTCCTATTCCAGGGGGAGCAAGGGCAGCAACCCCTCCAGCCAAGGAGGAAGCTGACAGACAGCAGGAGCTGCACTGAGGTGGGCGGAGTTATACAGCCACTATGGGGTCATTCTCTCTGGTCTGACAAGGGGAAGAGGTGGTTCTATGATGCACAGCCCTGCCCAGTCTACCATCTGGAAGCCCAGAAGACCCTGGTATATTCTAGAACCCTCTTGCGGCTGTTCAAGCTGCAGGGAATGAGTGCTAGGCAGTGGGAAGCCACAGCAGGTCCCCTGACTGGGATCCGCTCCTCTGCATATGGCAGCAGGGAGTGGGAGAAGACCAAGGCGGGTAGAGCTGAAGCTCGCCTGCCTGGCTCCAGGCTTCCAGGCCTTTCCGACCACCTTGTCCGCCGGGAGCTCCGAGCACCCCTCTGCAGTCAGCAAACACAGGTCCCAACAAGCCTAAGGTCAGACTGATTACTGGACAGGCAGCTGGTGCCAGTTCAACCCAACCCCTTGGTGAACACAGGGCCGGGCTCAAATCCTGCCATGGGTTCAATGCAGGGTTAGTCTAGGGGCACAAAGAAAATCTCTCCACAGCCTGGAACTGCAGGCTGACAGTGAAAATGGCTCCACCGCTTTCCTCCAAGCCTGGCATTAATGACATGGCTTCTCGGGTGGGGGAGGAGCTAGGAGTGGCAGGGATGAGAAAAAGGAAAATGAGGTGGCCGAGTCTGAGCTAACCCTACACACCTGACTTTTACAGGGCTCCAGGGCTGGGCTATGAATCCTCTCTGCTCTACGTCTCAGAGCTCTTCAGCTCTGCCAACTACTGCCTTGAATGACTCCCTGCTCCAAGCCCTACACTCTCTACAGCAGCCCCCAAAGGAAGCTAGGCCAAGTCCGACAACCTGCTGTTGACCTCAGTTTACCCATCTGTGTAGAGAGGACTGAAGTGAAGGCCCTCCAAGCTTTCTCTTCTCTGGCTTTCCAGGATGGAGTTCTGTGTTTTGTTGGTGACCGGGTGGGGGCTTGAACACTGGGCAAAGGATGCTGCTCAAGCCTGCCATATGCAGGGGTTCCATTCCCAAACCAGCAAACAAAACAAAGTAACCTTGCCTCTCCCGGCTTCTCACATTCCCTTAACATGAAACTGATTGCCAAATAACTGGGCCAGAGCCAGAGGCCAGCACCAGGCCCCAGCCACCGACCTTGGCTTTGGAAGGTATGCCAATCTCCTGGTCGGAAGCCTGCTGTAGCCTGAGGTCAAGAGAGATGGCAGAGTGCCATGTGGAGAGCACCAACTCCGCACTCCCCCTGGGCTGGGATGCCCTTAGCTGCTTATCTATACGACAGGAAGACTCCTGTGTAGGCTGAACTAAGGTCAGAAATGGGCCAAGGCCAGGGTCTGCCACACAGAATGAGGTGAGAGACTGTTAGGTCTTAGGGGCACACAACAGCCACCACTGAGCAATTGTTTTCCCAGCTTCCACTCCACCCTGCAAACCTGGAGGTCAGCAGCAAGGCTGTAAGGTCACATCAATAAAGAACAGGTCAGGAGTCCTGGGGATACCTGGGGGAAGGAGCATGTGCCCTGTCCAAACAAGATGGCTCTGGGCCTGAAGCTGCCACATCCCCTGTTTTTTCAAGAGCATCCCAAAATCAGCATCTGAATGTGAAATCTTCCAAAACATTTTGAGCACCAACAACAAATGCAGACGTGTGAAATACACTGATCAGCAGAATGGGGCCCTAAGCTGTAGTTTCCCAATGCTAAGGCATCAGGCTGTAGGCTCAACAGTGTTGGTGTGGCCGGGACAAGACAGCCCCAGACTCCTGAAGCTGAGCCTGGATGTGCAGTCTCACAGCACATGGAGACATATGCCACTGTCGTCTAGGCTGCTCAGCCACCAGCCAATCAGACTGTGCTCTCTGCTATGTGCCAGTCCAAGCCAGAACAAAACAGGAGTTAGAGGTAGAAACTGCCGCCAAGCCACCCGAGAGTGGGGTTCTGGATGTGGAGATGAACCAAGTGTAGTGGGGGTACATAAATTAGGGCAGGCTGCAGAAAGTTGGGCTGCCAAGCTACTTTATTAGGGCTACTCAATGGGGAGCCACTGCAGGTTAGAGAGGAAAGAAAGTCTTCCTACCAGTCCCCTGCTGGCCTCATAATGGTTCTCTCTGGCCATAGTTGTTTGAACCTCTGCTCACCAGCCTCTGCTTCCACTTCCTTGCCTGTGGGGTGTATGACAAAGCCCCGGGCTCCAACCCACTGCACAGAATACTTCCAAGATGGTTAGGACACACCCAGATGCTCCTGACAGTCTGCCTCCAATCTATAGTCACCATGCTGGCTGCAGAGTATGTGGTTCACTGCCATTCTCTCTGGCAAATGCCATAGGCTTGATCAAGGTCACCCAGTCTTCGGGGCAACTGGTTTCCGCACATCCTCTGCTGGGGGTGACGGCATTGACCGTCCTTGAGTTTGCAGAAGTGCTGACCCACGCTACATCCTCACTCGTGGGGCAAAGCCGGCAGCAGGGTGGAGTCCAGGCAGTGGTGATGGGAAGGCATCAGCTGTTCAAGTCTGATATGGGGTATCAGGTGTCTCACGGATGGGGCCAAGGGCCGGGCAGGTTAGTCCTGAGAGCATGGTCTGGGCAAACACAACAGCCCAGGGCTGTGAGGCCAGATAGTCGGGAAGAGGTGAGGGAAAGCCTCGATTCCAGGGCTGGAACTTCAGACACAGCAGAGGTTTCAATGAATGAATAGATAATTGAACAAAGGAACTTCTAGAGGGCTCTGTGCCCAGGGTCCTGCCTTCTCCAGCCTGTCTACTCACCTAGTACCTGACTCTGCACCAGCGCATGTCTGTGGAAGACTGAGAAAGACTTCCTACCCTTTCTTGAGGTCTCTGATTCAGAATTCAAAGGTACACCCCACCCCCAGGGTCTTCCAGCTTCCCCGGGGTCTTGGGGTTTAGGACTTTGTTGAGGGCCTCTTGATTGTGGATGCTTTGGAAGCTTAAGAAAAAACCCGGGCTCACTCCTTCATTGTAGAGGACACAGTGTTCCAGTCCTGGACTTGGCCCTAGGTGTTCTGGGGAGGGGGGGGGGTTAGGAAAAGGGAAGGAACTCAGGTTTGCTGTCCTTGGGACTTAAGAGGGACAGAAAGGTGCCCTGACCTGAAATGGCTTCTTCACTTAGGGTACCTCCCCTACCCAAAAACTAGCTGCTCACTTTGAGAGGGCTTGCCTTCTCCCTGTTCTGCAGGAAGCACAAAGAGGGAAAAGAGGGACCCGGGTAAAGAACCCTACTGTGATCCGAGTTGGGATATTGGAATCAGAGAAAAGAAGAGCTTTCCTCCGCTCATTCTCTCAAACACGCCCCTTCCTTGCCCTCTCAGACAAAGGCACACACCCAAAGCCCCAGCTGTCACCCAGAGCTGCAGAATGCAGGCACCTCTCACCTGTGGGCGCCTCAAATTTTCTTTCGGGGTTGGGGAGGCTCACTTAACAACTCACCCTGGCCTTTGGGGGTTGGGACATCTATATTTCTTTATTCTTCAAGGACCTAGGGTCTAACGCTCCAAGCTCGATTTATAAAGGAGACTCTCCAGCCTCTTCTCCCTCTCCAGGGCATAGCGACTACTCTCTCTGGGCGTCCGAAGCTGTGCCCAAACCTCAGAGTTGGGGGTGGAGAGTGGGGGAGGGGAGAGGAGGAGGGGGCGGCTCCTCCAAGCGAGACACAAAGAGACGTCCTTCAGCCTGGGCTCCATGGCGACGCTGAGGAGGGGGAGCACGCACCCATTACTTCCTTCCCCACCTGCAGGGCTCTGGGGATCTCGGTGGCTACTCACCTGCCGCCCCTCACCTGGGTCCCGCTTACCTGGGCTGGGGCCGCGGGGACGCCGCGGCAGGGGGTCTGGGCGCCGTGTCGGTCTTCTTCAGCCCGGCCCGAGAGGGGCTCAGGGCACCACCACCACCACCATAAGCCGGGACGCGGAGGGCGTCGCTAGGGGCTCGGTCGCCCAGGTCCCGGGGCTTTGGGGTGCCCGCGGCTTCTCGTTAGCAAGAGGATCTGATCTCGCTGTCCTAGGTTTGGGGGACCCTGTGTGCTGGAGCAGCAGGGAGGGCTACCGCCCCGAAGCTGGGTCGCTCTGTGTCTTGAGGTGTGCGGTTGCAGCAAGCAGCTCTTAGGGGGCCCGGGTTGGAGCGGTCGCCGCGCGCTGGGTCCCGGTAACCGCGTGCGGGGCTGGAGGTCACGGCTCAGCCGCTGGGGGGCTCGGGCGCCGCCGCTGCGAGCAGCCCGGCCCTGCGGGCCCCTGCCCCGGCCTGGCGCGGGCTGAGGCTGCGGCTCCTGCTTCGGCTCCCGCTCCACCCGGTGTTCGGGCTCCAGCGCCGGCGCCCGCCCGGGCTGCGCTCCATCGCGGCCTCGCGGCTCCGCCTCCCGCCGGCGCGTACCTGCCCGCCCGCCGCTCCGCCCTCCGTCTCGCGCACTGCTGCACGCGCCTTTGTCCGCCGCGCCGGGTGCGCGCCCCGCGCACGCGCACTCCCGCCGCGCACTCCCGGCGGGCGCCACGGGAGCCAAGTGATGCCCCGCCCGCTTGCCGTCCGCGCCGGGTCCTAACGCCCGCCCGAAGCTGCCATAAGCTCCTTTTTCTAGGTCAGAGCCCAGGAGGGGGCGAGAACGAGGTTAGAAAGGGCTCCGGGGAGTCGCAGAGGGTCACCTGGTCCAGCTGCTTGGTCCCCGAGGGATCAGACTGTCCCAGACTCTTCCAGCCTGTGCTTGTGGGGCGGAGCCTGGATTTGTTCCCAAGAAGGAAAATATATCCGAGCTCTCCTATTCAGAATGCACTCACTCATTCAACCACCGGTCCATCTGTTCACCCGCCTGTCTGCCCATTCATCCTTCCACCTATCCATCCGATCTCCACGAGACCTCAGAAAATTACCAGGCTACTCAGAGACCTGGGGTCTGCGGGTCCGTGTATGTCTCAGGCTGAACCTGCGAGCCCTGCTGTAAGGAATCAGTGAGGAGTTAAGGTGTCTTAAGCAGAACAGAAGGAAGGGGGCTCCTGGGCTGAGGCAGCAGCTGTGCGAAGACACCCGGGTGCGAAGAGCTTTGTTCATTAACCGGAAATTGGTAGCCTGGGTGCAGGTGGGGCGGACAAGCAGCGATCGCGATGGAGTGGGAACACCGTGTTCTTCCGGAGGCCCAGTCTCTCTTCCGCGCCTCATCCCCGCAGCACACTGTTTTCTTCATGGAAAAAGCCCCCAGCACACCCAGAATCTCCCCCTCCTTTTAATCACTGATCAGATTGTTTTCTAAAACCAACATCCTCTTCCCAACCACTCTGTCTGCTTCTGGAACTTTCAGAACACAGGGTATTGCAAACTTAAGTAACCTTAGATGGACCAGGGGAGATGGCTTATTAGGTACAGTGCTTGCCAGGCAAGCATGAGGACTTGAGTTCAGTCCTCGCACTCACATAAAAGCCAGAAACCCAGTGTCATGACAACTGTAGTTCCAATACTAGGAAGGCAGAGACAGGTGGATCCCTGGAGCCGCCTGCCTGCCTGTCTGATCAGTGAGCTCCGGATTCAGTGAAAGACGCTGTCTGGGGTGGGGGTGGGGTGGGGAAATGAATGAGAAGCCTGAATAAATTGTTTCTGGCAAGCCCAAAGACCAGGGTTCAGATGCTCAGAACTCACATGGGAGGCAGGCAGGATCTCCAGAGCAAGCTGACTCGCAAGACTAGCCCAATAGGTGAGCTCTGGGTTCAAGTATGAGTCTAGGCATTGGTACATAAAAGTGGAGAACAACTAAGAGAAATAAATAGTGCACTTAACCTCTGCCTCTACATGCACACATGTGTACATGCAAACACACATATGCATGCACACTACACATACATACCCCCACGAAAAAATAAGCTGGGGAGTGATTGAAGAATACACCTGATAATGTCAGCTTCTAGCCTCTACACACACAAACACATACTACACACACACATTACACACACACACCACACACACCACACATCACACCACACACACAGACACATACTACACACACAACACACATTACACACACATACACACCACACACACACCACACATCACACCACACACATAAACACATACTACACATACACATTACACACACATACACCACACATACACACACCACACACACACCACACATACACACCACACATACACACACACCACACATACACACACCACACATACACACCACAATATACACCACACACATACTACACACACACACCACACCACACACACACACACCCCTAAGTTACATGAATTGCTTTACAGGAACTGGAGATGTGGCTCAGGAGGAGAGAGTTTGCCTGTATGTATATGGAAGGCCTTGACTGGATCCCCTGAACTGGAAGAAAAAAAGTTGATGCACAGATTTTTGCTTGGCAACCTACACTCTCAACACAACTATGTCTAATTCCTAGCCCACCCTCCTCCAACCTTTACCTAAGTCCGGTTTTCTGGAAGCCAAATCTTTTGTGGCCACCAGCTCTGTTGAATGCAGTTTTGGTTGGGTTGCATCCTTAATGAACTTGCCAGCACTCCCTGGGCCCTCTAGGGTAAAGCCTGCCTTCCTTACCCTGCGTGGTGGTTTGAATGAAAAAGGCCACCATAGGCTCATAGAGGGAGGCACTGTTAGGAGGTGAGGTTTTGTGAGGGTAGGTGCGGCCTTGTTGGAGGAAGTGTGTCACTGGAGGTGGACTTTGAGGTTGCACACGCCCAAGACAGGCCCAGTGCCGCTCTCTCTTCCAGCTGCTCACAGATCTGGATATAGAACTCTCAGCTCCCTCTACATCACCATGTCTGCCTGCATGGCACCATGCTTCGCAGCGTGATGATAATGGACTGAGCCTCTGAACTGTAAGTCAGCCCCACTGACATGTTTTCCTCTATAAGAGTTGCCGTGGTCATGGTGTTTCTCACATCAATAGAAATCCTAAGACACCCCGTGCTGAAAACTGCCAGCATCTGGTGCCCGCTTGCCACACCACCCCTGTGATCATCTCTTCTCCACTCAGCCTTGGCCTCAACAAGTTTTTCTGGAACATCTGCTTTTCCACATTTTTGTACATTTGGTTCCTCCTGTCTACAACACATTCCCCTTCTCTTCTGTTTTCCACACACATTTACCCTCCTGTGGCTGCCTGTTCTCTCCGCTTCATCCTCCAACGTCAGAGCTTTTGAATGGTCTATCTTTGTCCTATACTCACTAAGTGAGGTATTAGTGCTCCAAACAAGCAAATTGGGTGTCCGTGTGAGCGAATGGGGTAAGTACGGGAGACTGCGGAAGAAAGGGTGTCTTCTTCCTGTGTTTTATAACTGAGTTCCCAGACACTAGAGCTTAGAGAGTACTTCCTCATCCAAAGAAACAGGCCTTGGCATGTTCTTGGCTGTGGTTATTGCTATAGCTTGACTTTTAAATGTGCCCCAAAGGCTTGTTCCTTGGGCTGGAGAAATAGTTCAGCAGTTAAGAGCACTGGCTGCTTTTCCAGAGGACCCAGGTTAGATTCCCAGTGCCAGAGGGCAGTTTACAACCATCTGTCACTTCAGTTCCAGGGAACCTGATGCCTTCTCTTGGCCTTCTTGAGCACCAGACATGCAAGTAGTGCACAGACACGCATGCAGGCAACACACTCACGAAGTAAAATGAAATAATTAAAAATATCTTTTAAAACAGAAAAAGAAGCCAGGCAGTGGTGGTATATGCCTTTAATCCTAATACTTGGGAGAAAGAGGCAGGCAGATCTTTGAGTTTGAGGTCAGCCTGGTCTATAGAACGAGTTCCAGAACAACCAGGGCTACACAGAGAAACCCTGACTCAAAAAAAAAAAAAAAAAAATCAGAAGAACAAAAATACCTAAACAACCACAATGACAGAAAACTAGAAAGAGAAGCTCAGTTTTAAAGCTTAGCATTGTTGAATGGTGATGGGAACCTTTAAAAGGTGGGGCCTAGTGGGAGGCTTTATGTAATATGAGGACATGCTCTCAGAAAGAATTGTGGAACACTCCTCTCTTTTTGTTCCTGGCCATGTTGTAAGCAGGCTGCCACGGTGGTCTCATTAGGTACACTATCTTGCCACTGGCCCCAAATCAACAAGGCCAAACAAACAGTTAAAGCCTCCAAAACTTTGGGCCAAAATGAAGCTGTCTTCTTGATAATCCTTTTATTACAGGAGTTTTGTTATAGCAACAGACATCTGACTAAGAGTTGGCAAGAGTTTCCCAGTTGAAGGCCTCCTCCTGTAAAACTTCCTTGATTCCTCAATTGGGGCCTTGATTGCCCACAGTGCAATTAGTAAAGGTTTGCCAAATGCATGGTGGGCAAGCCCTTCCCCATAGCCCTCTCAACAATGCAAGGTGGGAAGTCTTTATTCCCATAGGCAAAGTACTGTTGCAAGAAACACATATTGTCCTTAAAACTAAGCTAGGAAGCTGTAGGCTCTGTATGTTTGGGGGCCAAGCAAGGAAGAGAGGTGTTACAGCCCTGCTAGAAGAGGACCAGGATGCTTTCACATACAGGAACAAGAAAAAATCATGAAGAATCTGGGTATCTGCTGCTTCTGAAAGCCAAGTATTTGGACTTGCTAGGTTGGGTGGCGGGGGTGGGGTGGGTGGGAGTGGGAGTGGGTATGGGTATGGCACTGGGTAACCTGTCATAACCAAAGCCTTGGTGAAGGCTGTGGTTAATTTAGAACGCTTGTGGGGAGAGGAGGAATGGAAGCCTGCTCTGGCCCCCAGCTGCCGGCAGCAAGGTGGAGGGAGTACAGCTCTTTCTCTCACCTTCCCCTTCAAAGGTTTCACCTAGGAGGAGGCTCACGGGATCCATGGAATTGTTGTTCAGTGAAAGTGATGGGATACGCTGGCCTGAGCTTCTCCCACTGAGACTGAGCCGTTTGGGGCTGGAATCAATCACCAGTAGCAGCAGCAGCAGCAGCAGCAGCAGCAGTGAGACTGACCTATGGTTCACAAAGGAGTCTCCCATTTGCTTTATGTGGCTCATCCCCAGCCAGGGAACTAGGGTCCAGCCATTCCTTGGGGACACAAGACTCCTTTAATGGCAACTTTGGGTCCGGGGCTTCTCATTCTAGGCTCTTGCTACCCAACGTCGCCCTCCCCATTCCCCTCCTTCAATTGCTAGGTCTCTTGCAATCTGGCACTTGTCCAAGCCTCCACTAGTTCCCTCCCAAGCATTTTCTGCAGTAAATTGCTTGTCTGCCTGACCCCGCCATGACCTGGGTCGGAACCAGCTCAGTCTATCTGACCGGAGGAATTAGGGAACTGGCTACAGTCCCTTGTCCTTGATGCGTAGAAATGTGGCAGTCAACACTGTCCCCATAGCAAAGCTGCCCTTCTACAGGGCCATCGTGA